GCTCAAACATAGAAAGATTGTGAGGATGGCACAGGATTAGGCAGTGTTTTATTCTGTAGTGCACGTTGTTGTTAAGTTCCATCGAGTCAGTTCCGACTCACAGCGACCCTGTGTATGGTTTCCGAGGAGCAGCTAGTGAGTTTGAATCACCGACCTTGAAGTTCAAACTGACCTTGAGGTCGAGTGCATGTGCTATGATTCGGAACCAACTCGACAGCATCTAACAACAACTTCAAAAGTTCAGTCTGGTTTCTTCTAGGCCACAGACCCATGCTATACTATGAGCATTCCATTCCATGGCTGGGATGGAATGGCTCTCCTCAGCGTTTAGAAGACGCTGGTTATGACATTATCAATGCAGCTTAAGCCTGCAGGCGGAAAACAAAGCGAGGGGGTGGTAGGTAAGTGGCAAAGATTATGCAACAAACACCAAATTAGGCAAAACAGATTTTTAACAAACCGCCGCTCCATGCAAATGCTTCCTGTGCAAGTGTGCTGCATTCCTAAATACACAGCAGCTCGACCTTAGAAAAGACTTCTCTCCTCTAAGATTCCAGGAATGTCCCGTTCCAAACCCTTAGAGAAGAACTGGCATCTTTTGTTTCATAAGCATATTGCCTTTTCCTTATTCCCAAAGGAGCTCTGGTAGCGTAGTGGTTACAAATCAGGCTGCTAACCTCAAGGTTGGCAGTTTGAAACTACCAGCGGTTCCATGGGAGTAAGATGAGGCTTTCTGCTCCCGTAAAGATCTGCAGCCTCGGAAACCCTGTGCAGGGTGCAGGGTCACTATGAGTCGGGAACAGACTCCACAGTACTTAACCCCACCACCACCACCTGGGTTAGTTAAGCTCCCACTTGAAACTGAAACAATATCCATACATCATAGTATAATCGAGTGGACAGAGGCAAGTCAGGAGTGCTAGGAGGAGGGTAAATATGGAAAGTTTTCGGAGAGCAGTGAGCATTGTCTTTCTAAATTAAAACTGCATCTACATTTTGACTTAGTAATTATTTATCTAGGAATCTCTTCTATAGACAGCCACACAGCTATACACATGCAGCACTGTGGTAATCATTATAGTAGCAGAAAGGCTACTCACAGTTTTAATGTCACTTAAATACATTATGACATCTTTATGCTAAGGAATATATATTATGCAGCTGAGCAAGACAGTGCTGTAGTACTGAAATGGGAAGGTGTCCCTATTACACTACTCGGCTAAGTGAAGAAAAGGACCTCTGGAGTTGTGTATGCCACAGGATCCCATTTGTGCATGTCGGCATGAAGAGTGGATCACTGCCGGGGGGCTCACTTTGGGAAACAGACATTGTGTTGTAGTGAAGTGTTGTTCAGTTGGTTCCGACTCATAGCGACCTTGTATAGGGTTTCCAAGGAGCAGCTGGTGGATTCAGTGCTGATCCTGCAGTACCATTTGCAATTCTCAGCTCCCATATGCTTGTTGTTAAGTACCATTGAGTCAGTTCCGACTCATAGCGACCCTATATAGGGTTTCTAAAGAGCAGCTGGTGAGTTTGAACCACTGACCTTGTGGCTCAAACCAACCTAAGCAGTCCAGTGCACTGGTTAAAAACTGTCTGTGAGCACCTTTTAAAAAATATAAAGCTCAAAAAAAAGCAAGAATTGGAAGACAAGTTGTTGTTGTTATGTACTGTGGAGTCGGTTCCGACTCATAGTGACCCTGTACAGGGTTTCCGAGACTGTAAATCTTTACGGGAGCAGAAAGCCTCATCTTTCTCCTGCGGAACAGCTGGTAGTTTCAAACTGCTGACCGTGAGATTATCAACCCAATTCATAACAGTTCAGTCAAAAACAGTTATAAAGTAGTGAAACATGTCTCAGGGCCCCGGCTCATTCTCGAAGAATCTGATCAGAACTTTCAGAACTGCTCAAACACAGGCCTGCAGAAGAAGCGTGTCCCATCTCCAGCTTCATAGTAACAGGTTTCTCTCTAGGGCACCTGTCACCAGGTGCTCTGCTGGCTCTGAAGTCCATCCTGATGTGGGCACCTGGAGCCTCACTCTCTAATGTAGTCCACTTCTAGTCTGTCACATGGCATAAGCAATGCACACCACCTCCATGAAGTCACTCCTAAGACTGCATTTGCAGCACAGAGGGCACACTAAGGACTACTCTCTCAGGACAGGGCCGAAGGAACAAGCTTTCTACATGAGGTCTCTGCTCATTTTCACAGGGCCACCTGCAAAGCATCTCAAGAGACCACCATCCTCTCGAACTACTCATGTTTTGAGTAGCACTATTCAACACAACTTTCTGTGCCGATGGAAATGTTCTAACAGGAGCCACTAGTCACGTGTGGTTCCTGAGTCCTTGAAATGAGATGAACACAACTTGTGCAAGGAATAGTACACTTCATTTAATTTAAATAAATTTAAATGTTCACTTAAATAGCCTTAGGTGACCAGCAGTTCTCATACTGGATCACACAACACAAGTCTTGAAACCTAATGCTCCGATGCCCACTGTGAAAATCTTAAGGTTCCTGAAACCCTTCCTCCTCCAAATCAAGGTCTGCTCTACTGGTGGGAGGAACACCCTTGCTGGATAACACCCAATCTGCTCTATCCTACTGATCCAGAACCCTCTCTCTTGTTTCTCCTTTCCCTTTTCCACCAAAGCTACTCACACCTCCAGGCCCTGGGCTCCAGCTAGTTACATGACCTCTAGACACCGGCGATGGCCCAGACACGGTCAGCTATTCTGGTGTTCTGCTTAAGGACCCCTGAGGCTGGGTACATAGTCCAAAACAGCCAGGGATGGACAGGCCCTGGGGGACAGAGAGAAGCTTGGCCTGGCTGACACACAGAAATTAGGACTGACAATAACTGGTCCAATAAAAGGAAAGATGGAAAATGAGGCCTGGCTACCAAAAGACAACATAGCGCCTTCTCATTTTCACCTCGTCACAGCTACCAGTGATACCTATTTACTTGCTCTGGTCTCTACACTCCATGTCCACAACTTGCTCTGGTCTCTACACTCCATGTCCTTGAGTCCAAGGCAGTGTAAGCCGGCAGGTTACAGACTCCTGCTCCATGCCCGAGGACTGAAACAGTTGGAGGAAATGCTGGAGGAAGCCAGTGTGCTCTGGGGTGGAGACACGTCTTTGGTGATAAAGTGGCTGACAACCTGAACACATGCCTAACTCTGGACTGGGTCTTCCACAGCAAGCCCTGCTCAGCCCATCCTGATTTCATATGTGCAATTGGGAGCACACATACTAACGTAAACCTTCAAACTACAGAATTTCACACCTCAATTTAGTATGAGGGAGTTTGTGGGGAAAAAACCATTATCTGTTAAGTATATATTTCCCACAAACTTTTAAGAAACCCCCTCGAATGTACATTTGGGAGCAAACTTCATGCAACCCACAAAGGGCCAGGGTCCTTTACAAGCAGAACTGCTCAGAGCTCAGAGTCACCATGACACCCTTCCAGTCCCTCCTGCCCCAATGCCACCTTGGTAGTACCCACGCTATCAGCATCTGGAGGTCACAAGAAGCAAGAAGTCAAGAAAAGTCCCTAGAGCCCAGCTGGCTAGTTTGAGTGGTGGGGAACAGGCCAGCTGGGAGACAGACAAGGCAAACCCCCTGAACAGCTTCGCTGAGAACAGCCTGGTGGAGGACAGCATGGCCCAAGAAAGTAGGGAGCTACACCATGCTGACCTCATGGCCCCAGGCATCAAAGACCCAAGCTAACTTGAATATTATTAGGTACACCCAGAACAGACCTCAGGAAAGTACACCATGTGATTATTAAAAAACATCTCAGGAACACGCACTTGTCTGTGCTTTGACAAAGGTCACACGGGGGCGGGCTTTTGGATTCTGTATGGGACACACAATGGAAGAACATCAGGCTTTAATCTTGATCGCCATCTGGACTTGCATGAATATTGTCACTGACTGTATCCCAATGGCCCCACGTCCCAACAGCCAGTACCCTCCCAGCATCTAGGGAGCACATGACTTGTGTTTTGTTGTTTGTAAGCGCCGTTGAGTTGATTTTGACCCATAGCGACCATGTATAAGGTTTCCGAGGAGCAGCTGGTGAGCCTGAAGTTCGACCCTGCAGTTCAAAGGGCTTTGCAATCTGGTGCATTAACCGACAGCACCACACCAAGACTCCTTTTTCACCCCAACATCCTGGCTTACCATATCCCACACATCCCTACTCTAACCTTGCTGCGGGAGGCTCCATCGCAGGGAGCTTTCAACACAGGCACTGTTCCCCAACAAGAAGCTCCACCAATGAGCACAGCATGTCCACCACATGAAGACGATGTGGGTAAACACAGAGCCTTACCAATGCCCACAACCATTTCTCTGAATGTTTGCACTGGGCAGTGGGGAGAGAGGGTCCACAGGCCAGACTATGCGCCAAACCTGAGTCTGTCCCCTGTGGCTTTTGCTCTCTGGGTTCGTCTCTGAATTTTACCTCAGAAACACTGAGATGAATCCACAGCAGAGGTCTGACATAATGTGAACACAGGAAAAGGCTGGCATTTTCACCTTTGCCTGCCCTCCGGGCTTTTTTCTGGTATTGTTCTAACTAATATCTGGAATTAAGGAGGGTTCGTTATTGCTTTTTTTTTTTAATGGTGAAAAGAATATTTAAGATAATTTCACAGATTCAACTTTACGTCCTTAAAATAATTTTTAAAAGTCATAAATAAGAAGCTATTAATATAAAATGATCTACTTGGATAGATAGCTCATTGGCATCCCTGCCAATGTAGACCATGACACAAAACATCACTGAGGCAACAGGTGTTTCCCCAAAAGAAGGTGCTGGCATGTCCTCAGAGCCAGAACTTTCTTCAGGGTTGTTTTTTAACTGTAATGATAAAATACTACTACACTGAAGGGAAAAAATGTTGCAGAAAACAACAGAAGCTCTCCTTTTGGTGTAGTGGCATCTACTGGTATAGACTACTTTTCTTACTATAGTTACCTAACATCTTTGTCTTACACTGCTCTCCTGGCATCGAAATAATTTAGTATGCCTCATTTTCAACTAAAAATCACATCATGGATATTTCTTTCCACAGGCCATGTATTCCCACATTTCTTTTAACTAAAAACCACACCATAGGGTGTACTATCTTTACCATCATCACTGTGAGACGTGGCATGAGGCCTGGAGGGTTCCGAATCCAACACCATGGCCTGAGGCGGGTAGCCTGAAGGTTGCTGCCAAAAATTTTAAACACCAACAAAAAGCATAAGCAGCTTTACACATAGACCTGGCTTCCATAGTTTGCATTATTTCCTCAGATGAGAGCCCCAAGAGAAGAAAACCCTGTAAGGAGCTTGCCCGCCATACACTGTCAGTCAATGAAGGCTTATGTACTGCTAGGATGCTGAACAGGTCTCAGCAGAGCTTCCAGACTATGAGAGACCAGGAAGAAAGTCCTGACAATCAACTTCTGAAAATCAGCTAATGAAAACCCTATGGAACACAACAGTCGGATTCCCCAACCAACCAGTAGGATGGCAGAGGATTGGGCAGTTTTGTTCTGTTGTGCAGCAAGCTACCATGTTAGCTAACAAATAAATGTCTTCATAGATTTTACTATACTGCTTTTCAAAAGGATCATCCAATTTATACCATTATTATTTTTTAAACCATATCCATGTTTATAGCAATAACCTAAAATTAAGCTTGTTTGTTCTAATGTGAATCTTCTAACGTTTTTACATACGTAATCTACATCCTCCCATCTCAAGTGTGGTCTGTGGTGCAGCAGCACCAGCATCTCCTAGGATGTGGTTACACACGCAGCATCTCAGTCCTGCCTCAGACTTGCAGAATTAGAACTTACATTTTAACGAGACCCCAGGGGCCTTTACACATTGACTACAGGAGAGCAAGGCTGACATGGTAACAGCAAATTCAGCAAGATTAAAGAATAATCCACGTGTCCAGATGTTTCATTCACTCTCAAGAATAAAAAAGTTAGCTTTTGAGGTTGTCATCTCAGCTGCCAACTGTTCCCCCATGCATTTGTGTTATAATTTCAGTCCTATTCTCAAAGTACCATGGCGGCTGCAGTGTCATGAGCGCCTGCCCTTTGCCATCCATGCTGGTTGGTGGGTGGTGGTTATGTGACATTGAGTCAGTTCTGACTCATAGTGACCCTGTATCGGGTTTCTGTGGCTATAATTCTTTTACAGGAGCAGAAAGCCTCCTTTTTCTCCCGAGGAGCAACTGGCAAATTAGAAGTAGGGCTCCATGCTAACCGATAGGAATTCCTGCTGTCTTTCGGCTGCTCTATGCTTTGATTTTCTTCTGAGTTAAATTTAATTAGTTCAAAGGTTAAATATCCAGAGAGATGAGTGCTTTGGGATCTAAACTGACTTTCCCAAATCCTGAACCTGATCATTGTTGCCCAAGAGCCTTCACAGTCTTGTTTTCCCTAGTGAAATATGATGCTTCCCCTGCTTGAGTTCTTGGTGTGACAGATCCTATTTCAGGACCATTCTATTCCCCGGACTTGGCTAGCCTCAACCCCATACCCTACTTGTAATCACAAAGGTTTGGAAATATGTTCACACACCAGACAGGACTGGTCTTCTCAAAGCCACTAAAAAGTTAAAAAATCCAGTATTCTTTCTTATTTTTTACTCCAAATGGAATAGAAATTCTGGCTACAATAAAGGTCAACCAGTAAATTAATTTGGGGATAGCATTCATTTTATATATATTTAATCTTCTTACCCCAGAACATGACAGTTCTTTGTTTAAATTTCCTTTAATATTACCCCTAGCTGTTGTTGTGTAGGCTCACACAAAACTCCTAACAACATTCTTTATTACCTACAGACTAGGACAACTTTGCCTCTCTTCCCAATATTAAAATAACATTTTTGGTTCATAGCTCATTTCAGACTCCTGTAACTACTGTGGCAGAACCAGAAACATGCAGCCCTTATTTGCATTAGTGTCTCTAGACAGTTCCCTTGTTCCTTAGTCAAAGAAAACATCACCTTCAAGAAAAGACAGTTTGCCCTTCCCCTCCAGCCTTTGGGAGGGCCTGAGAAGTCAATCTCTCAGGTGGGACCCAGAGGGACCCCAGCAGAAGCCCTCAGCCACTCAAGAGCTCAGTCCCTCACTCACGGGACAGAGGAATGGCAGAGAAAAACGGCTCCTCAGAAGCTGGGAGAGGAAGAAACCTGAGAAAAGGTAATGCAGCTTCTCAAAGTGGCAAGACAGGGAAACCAGGAAAAACAGAGAGCCCAGTGTTGCCCAGCACAGATCCAGGTATTTCAGACTCTCAGACACACACCTGACAAGACAAATACAGTTAACTTTCCAGCTCAACAAATGGCTATTCAAAGATTCAGACGGAAAACACAAGAAAATACACAAACAAAAAATTCCATTGTATCAAAATTAGTGAAGGAAATGAATCATGAACTCCCTGGCCTAAATTCTATAGTACCACACACTAAAAGGTACCAAGAATGCTCTCTCTCTCAGCCAAGAGAAGGGGAGAAAAACTGGGGAAAGGAGCATATTGAGAAAGGTCATTTCTCTTTGAAAACATGATCTTACCACACACATAAGGAGCTCTGGTAGCGCAGTGGTTAAGAATCGGGCTGCTAACCTCAGGGTCAGCAGTTCGAAACTACCAGCTGTTCCGCGGGAGAAAGATGAGGCTTTCTGCTCCAGTAAAGATTTACAGCATTGGAAACCATATACCGGGTTGCTATGAGTCGGAACGACTCCACGGCTCATAACAACCACCACCACACATAAGGTGGTTTTCAAAAAAATCATGGAAAAATTCTATTATTTTTCAATTGCATTTCCCCACAAATTTTTGGAGGCTCCCTTACATAAATGGGTAAACTATGGTTATGAATTGGGCTGCGAACCGCAAGGTCAGCAGTTATAAACTACCAGCTGTTCTGTGGGAGAAAGATGAGGCTTTCTGCTCCCGTAAAGATTTACAGCCTCGGTCACCCTGTACAGGGTCGCTATGAGTCAGAACCGACTCCACGGCACATAACCACCACCACTTCTCCTTATACTCAAACTTTTCCCCATTTTCACTTTGCAGTCCTTCTGGAGAAAGAGTACTTCCTGGTCCCTGACTCAGGTTCAGTCACATGACTTGTTCTAGCTGATGGAGTGCTGGCACACTTGGCATGTCCTTTCATAATTCTGAGGTAAGCATGAAAAGGGTCACTGACCTAGAGTCAACGAAGTCTCACCTGGGTCCCAGAATGATTACATGTGATCAGACTTGAAACTCGACACTGCAGCAAGGAGGTTACCCATTAAACTACAGCTTGTAGTAGAGGTGTACCACCGAGACAACCCAGGCCAGCCAACCTCCAGCCAATCCAAAAAAGCATAAGGAAGAATAAATGGCTGTTGCTGTAAAAAATCACTAAAATTGGGGCTGTGTTGGGCAACTTTGCTGTGACAACAGCTAACCAATACAAATGGCATCCCCCAAGGGAAAGATGGCATTTCCCTCCAAGTTTCAAAGAAAGCAGAGTAACTCACCAGGTTGACTTTTCTTCTTTGACTTCTTCTTGGAAGGAGCCTCTTGTTTTGGTGTCCCCTGGCTCTGGATCATATCTGAATTTTTGTCTTGGGTAGGAGCTGACTCGGCCTTTTTGCCTTGACTGGAAGCTGTATCCCCCTTTTTGCCCTGGCTGGGGGACCCTTCTCCTTTTTTGCTTTGGTTCGGGGTTCCCTCTGCCTTTTTGCCTTGATTTTTGGCTCCATCAGCTTTTTTCCCTTGGTTCACAACACTCTCTGTCTTCGTGCTCTGATTGGCAACTGAATCAGTCTTCTTGCCCTGGTTCTGGCCCCCCTCAGCTTTTTTGCCCTGGTTCTGGCCCCCCTCAGCTTTTTTACCCTGGTTCTGGCCCCCCTCAGCTTTTTTGCCCTG